GATTCTTTGATGACGATGTTTGCACCACTGCCGTCCATGACTATCTTATGGAGGAACGGAATTTAGAAAAAAAAAACTGAGCGCGTAAACTGACGGTCTACTCCGCCCGATTTTAAAAAGCCAGCAGAGATAGAAATTGACAGTGAAAATTTGCAGAGACTGAAAAATACTACACATACCACCGTCTTTTTGATGATGCTCGAGATCGTCTTAACGATAACTTCGAGTTCCATATGTCATCGATGTTGGAAGAAGTGGTGGTTATGGTATCAGCTGATGATGAAGAAGCCGAACAGCTCTATGAGGTTTCTTTTTCTCGTTCTATGCATGTTGCAGCTTGGGAAGTGAAGGTGGCTCCACTACAGATTCCTTAATTTGCTCTTTCGTCGCCCTTGGGATTGGTTGTTCGGTACCGAATTTGTTTGAGGAGAAGAATTGTGCCCCGTACGTCGGCTGCCTGCGCGTATCATAGTTGTATGCTAACTACGCTTTCAATGCCACTGCGAATCTGAAAATTAAACCGCATGCGTGGCGCATCCCAGGCGGCTATTGTCCGTCGCTTTCAATTTTTGTTTTCTGAATGTGAACAGTGACCGTTACTCCACTTGTTTAGATTGCTCGAGGACGTATTATGTCTCTTCGTACCCTAGCTATTGAGTTTGGCAAACCTGAAGAATTTAACGAATGGTTACTGTTCTCGAAAACTCAGTGGCCAGAATGGGCGCGATTTTGTGCATCAAGTATTCCATTTTTATCTTTCATGTTTTTTTTGTAGATTTTTTTACTCAGTTTTGTGATTACTTCTTACTACCAGAAATTTGTACCATAATTCTTTTCCTGATTCAGAAGGATCGGATGCGCCTTTATTGATTTCAAAACAGGAGTGCTCTTCTTCCGAATATTCGAAAAGCGAAAGTGCAGCTTTATGGTTTGGGTGTGATTGATTAGTAGAGGTTGTGCTTGATCTCTTTTGGTGAGGCGCAAAGAAATCAAGATTTTTTTCACTTCAGGCTACTATTGTCCACCATACGGAATATCGAATCCAACTGATTCGACTGTGATAATCAATACCTATGTTCTCATTGTTGATATGTTCTCAAAATAAAGCCTGATAATCCATATTGTTTCTCGATTGCACTGAGAGGCTTTCCTACTTCTTTTCAAGATTTTTTTAAAGAGACAAAAAAGTCTAATTTTCTTCTAGCGGTAAACATGTCGGCTGCTGCAGTTTACGACAGTGTCTCACCAACGCCCAGTATAGAATCGTGAGTATTTATTTCTCAATTCAGAAGGAGTTATTCAATAAAGTTCTGATTTTTGACACGAACAATTATTTGTTGTTGTATGCTTATACCTGCTTGCTTTAGTGTGGCAGCTGAGATAAGAGATCTGACAACCTCTATAGCAGGTGAAACCGACGCTGTGACTGTGGCCAGTGTTTTCCGGAAGGTACTGAGGAAGGAGAAATTTTGCGAGCAGTAAGAAAAAAAATTATTTTAGGAGTGCGATAGCGCCTCACCATTCTACCTCGGCCCTTCATGTAACCAAATGGCTATATGTGATGTGGTGTACGATTCGGCTAAGGAGAATGTTTTCGTTGCAGATTACCAAAAGACGATCACGGCACAGCAAATCATAGTGAGTGCTCTGTTGAAAATAAGTCTTTGCATCTTATTTTTAGACTTTGCAGACTTTCACTCAAGAAATCGAACGAGCGGCAACCAAGGACGAGTCTGGCAATAGTTGTTTGATGATCTCAGAATTATACGTGAGAATTGCTGAATTTGGTTATGGTTTTGGTTAACATACGATATATCGCTTCTTTGAGTTTTTTCTAGACTCACAATTATAAGTTTTCGTTTTTATATCTCTTTCAGTCTGTACTATCTCGTTCTCCGCCAGAAGTTAGAGAGTGCTTCAAGCGTCAAGTAATTAGTCAATTAGTGCTTTCCAGTAATACAACCAACGGGTGTATCTCATGCCAGCTTTTGAGTAAGAAGCTTACCAAATTCCATGTAAATGCCCGAGATTTTGTATGATATTTTTGTTCCAGCTGACTTCCTGGTGACTTGTTGTCGGCGGTCGCAACAATGCCTTCTTGTAGAAGGTAGTGCCAGGTCGGCTGAATATATGACGTCAAATGTGTGTTTGCCTTGATTTCCTTTTCTGGCTAAAATAGCATTTCCTTCCTCTATGATTGTCTTGTAAGATAGCCCGCTTCACAAGAGTTTCATAAAATTGTGCAAAAAAGATTTCGCAGAAACATTCGTAATATTATGCTTAAGAAAAAGCCATGTCTTTTAGAAGTACGCTTCAAAAGTTGGCGAACTTCTCGTTTTGGTTCATTTGAAGATTGACTTCTCTATAAGTTTTTCGCTGTCTATTTGAAACTTTTTTCCAGCAGGAGACATATGAATTTGGATGAACTGTGATATAAAAGATTGCTTCGGCATTAAGATTAGTCATCCAAAACAATGATTTTTCATTTGCAGGAATTCCTCGATCTTGTTATGGCTGAAATTTCCAACAAGCTCTCATGGGAAAACGTAAGTCACTCACTACTGAATTTTGTAAGATTCAACCCAAGCTGCGCGGCTTTTTCAATTTCTGCCGTACCATGGATGAATAATGAATGTCATGGTGAGCGTCAATGTAAATGGTGCGATACTGTCAGTAAATTTCATAGATAGGAAAGTCTTCAAAACACTAATGTTGGAAGGTGAATTTTTCTTCGTCTGGGAACTCGAGCAGGTTCAAGATAAAGGAAAAACAATAAAGCGTGCGGGTTATTCAGTTCCTTTGTAGAATGCGCCACGCATTCTGTTTCCATCCAGAATCGTAGTCTGACAGATAATCAAGGCCTATCCAATGGGTTCCATGTAGGAGTCAGTGTTTTTATCCTCCCAGACAAGTCTGGTGTCATCTAATCAAATTTGAATTCCGGGGTGAGACAGCCATTAATAGCAAAAGGTTTACTGGCCAAACTTTGTGAATGAATAAATGGCCTTTGTTGAAGGGAAAAACGAGAACTGTGTTTAGGGAATGAAAGACTGTCCGTTCTATTATGCGGTGTTCGCAGAGCGGTGCGTTTTCTTCCACCTCGATCCACAAAGGACTGGGAAGGTTTCGATATCGGTAAGGATGCCTATTTTGAATTGCAGAAGTTGGTGACGTGTAAGTGAAGAGCGAACCGACAACTCCTGCCAAAGCGTGTTTCATTGTGCGAGTACGGACATCAATGGAAGGGTTGTATGAAACAAAGGGGAATTTCTCATAGTTAAGCAAAATAAATTTGCAGCAAGAGATGGAGGTGGGGTAAACGAGCGTTGGGATTTCCCAATGAAGAGTGCTGGGGCGAGTCATCTGTCCCCGCCATTCGCCTCCCCTCACCCCTCATCCTCCCCGCTGGACAGCTATGTCGGAAGAAGTGGGTGAAGTTATAGCTTATAGACTGTATAGACTGGTCTCTGAATCAAATAGTGTAGAAAGGCGTAAGGCGGCCCATAACGGCGAAGGCGATGGAGAGCTCGTGTTCGTGGGTGAGCCCTTACGTGTGGTGGTAGGGGGGGGGGTATTTCGAGACCCTCTGAAGGGGAAGGGGTCGCGAAAAATTTTGAAATCTACCGAACGCCACGATTGACCTTGGAAAGGAGTCACATTCGGAGGAAAGAGGTCATGCCTTTTATTGAGTCTGAATGGGACGAAGTGCATTTCATGAAATCAGAAAAAGTTTGGAAAATTAGCCGTTTAGTTGTACAACCCAACATCCCCCCATCCGCCCTTCCGAGTTTCTGATACGGTTTTTTGAAGTGTGCTCAGATGAACCAGGCTTAGCGACCATGAACCGTTGGAGGCATTGGAAGGTTTGTGTGGGTACTTTCTTCAGAACATCAGCCAATTTCAAAAAATTTCCCGGCGTGATTGTTGATCTCCCAAATTATTTGGCATTTTTTTGGAGAATCTTAGGTATAGTTTCATGAGGAGGCAGAGAATGGGAGTAGAACCGGGCCTTTGTGGCGCGGCGGAGTGATTTCGGAAAGGAGGACGTATTAGCTGAATTTTCTTGACAGGTGGATTGCGCTTGTCTCATCACAGCGCTCTCAAAGGAGACAACATATCAAGCTATCGCTTAAGTCTTGGGGCACATGATAAACCCAACTTCAGAGGCAGAATTCAGATGAATAAAGGAATCGTCCACGGGAACATAATGATTATATCTCACTCATAAGTCAATGGCTTGGGACCCATCATTCAAGATAAGAATGAAAAGAACAATGAAGTTTCTTTCTTCGTTGAACAGTCAAATAATGCGAAAGGGCGCGGTGGCGGCGTTCAGATTTCCCGCCGTACATCTGCCCAAAATGTTGACGGCGGGTGGAAGCTTCTACTTGGTCCGGAGGGCCTCGTAGGCCTCTTTTGGCCGTATGAACCTTAGTGCATAGGGATTTATCTTGTTTATTTGCTGAGTCTGATGCGTCGGTTCGTGTCTTGTGCTCCGATCGCGCGAAGCTTGCACTGTGATTACGCCCTTTTCTCGACACCATTACCACGACGTACCAGGTGTTTCATATTCTTTACGCGTCTGTAGTGATCGCAACGACATGCCCATTGTTATTGTAGGATTGCAAGAATTCCCTGTTCTATTGCTTATGGAAGATCGGCACCTGTCCCTCTATGCATAGCAATTACAGACATTAAACACTTCAAATCGTCTTTTTCGTTCTCATTTCATCAGAACGGCGGACCTCATACCTCCTGATCCTTATTACTCAGGCATCTTCCCTTATTTCTTTTGTGACTTTTTCAATTTGCAGGAAAATTACTGTTTTGCAGGAGCTCACCTCTACCCGATTGTTAGACGACCTCTTTGAAGTAGTTAGTATGCAGAAACGTGCACCCGATGATAAATCGTGGGATACTCCAAGCTCTTGGTGAGCGTTTTTTCTCATTCTTCAGCTCTCTTTTTATTATAGAATCACTTACAACCATTATTCGGATTCCAGGTGTTCAATTGGTAAATTTTGGCGAGTCCTAGAGCAATTCCGTAATTGCGATAGGGATGGTTCAGGAATGGTGTCTCTTGAAGAATGTCGTGGATTGAGGGAGTGAGGATTTCTCGAAGGTTGTTTATATTATTCCGTTCACAGACTTAACAGTTCCCCTTTAGGGGTACCATTACGCCGTTGTTCTTGGAGAGGGTGTTTGCAAATCAAATCCTTTATGGGGACCAGCCACCGTATGAGATGGACTTCCGAGGCTTCGTGGATCTCGATGTCGCCATTACATCGAGAAATGTTTGTTGTTATAATCGATTCAAAAGGTGGTGTTCCTGGATAGCTTCTTTCAGCAACCGGCATCCATTAGGTGGCTATTCCGGATACTCGATCTTGAGAGACGATGGCTTCCTGGATCGTGATGAAATCAGAATGATGGTAAATAGTTTCTTTTTGGAATGTTCCACTGGTAATAGTGTGGTAAAATTTACTAGCAGACAGAATCCTCCTAAATCTTGTAACGCTTAACGCTTTGAAGTGTCTAGACCCTCGATTGATAGCCGGGAAGAATGGGGATTGGTCTGAATGAATCCCCTTAGCCTTCGTGCTCTTAACACGTTGACGACGAGCGTGTTTTCTTTCCCCTTGCACGCGCACGGGGGGCACGTTTCGAAGCCCCTTTTATTGTTGATTTATCATCTTTCCTTTTTTGATTACTTAAGCAATTGTGACCAAAAGCATCAAAATACCTCTGAAAACAGAACGAAAAATTGTTACCACTGGAATTTTAGGTAACATATCCGGAGATTTCATGATGCCTACTTACGTTTTACGACCTTTAGAAAAGAGGGAAGTAAAAGTGTGACAGGACTGCTTGAACCTGCTACCGTAGTTCAGCTGTGAATGACTAGAGCGCATACGGGTGAAGGAGAGGCGGAACAACGAAGAGTAAACCAGCGGTGCTCCACGATGAGCTGCTTACTGCCATGAAAAGTTGGAATTTCTAGATACATCGTAGTAATTATTAAAAACGAAAAATAGTGAATTTGGTTTGACCTGGGAAGCCTTCTATATAGTCGGTCATCATTGACCGACGTCGCCGTCAACGTGTTAAGTTTGGATTTCCCTAATATCCTGCAATTGTTAAAGCGAAGCGATTACCGATAAGAAATTCGCACGGGGAGAACCCTGCGCCACCACGGCTGCAATCTTTCCTTGGCTCTGCCAAGAAAGCGATGTGTGGCCCTCCCACGGTGGTGCTGTGGTTGCTGAGCAGGACCCGCGTGACGCCCCGCCCCCAGTGACGTGACGCCCACTAGTTTTGTTGATGATCTGGATGGACTGTTTGCTGTTGGCTTTTCATTTTGGATGATCATTTCCCTTCTAGCGGCTGTATCTTCCAACTTGCCCACGTATTGCCTTATCAATCAAAACACTATGCTTGTTGGCATGATGGCGGCTATCGGGGTTAACACGTCCGAACAACGTCGTTCTTTACCGTCGCTCATCCATGGTCGAAAATGAAAGGGCAATCAAAGGGGTACTATTTTGCTTATTTTTGACGGATTTCTTTGCTTTTTTCGCCATTGGCGTACTATTGAGACCCCCACGTCCCCTCTAAACCCCTTTGAGATCTATCGTAATCGCTTCCTTTAAGTTGGATTTTCCCTAATATCCTGCAATTGACCTTTTGCAGATACAAAGCATGTTGGAGAATTTATCGGCAATGGAGAACTGGGCGATGAGTTTTAACGCCGACGATATCGTAGACGAGATTATCGATATGATAAATGCAGCTGAGACGAACAGGTGGCAGAGCAATGGAGGTATTGACTGACCTTAGAGTTTGAAAGGCTTCTCCGAGTAAATTGTTATACAAACTACCCAGAGAGCCGTAGTTGACCATATTAGTCCTAAAAAGTTTCATGTAAGAAAAGCTCAACCTAAGTGCTAGATACATCATTACATCGCAAAATTTGGTCTAATACCACATGTGGTCCAAAAACCGTCAGCTGTTGAATAGAATAATTGCGTTTTCGAGAGCGCTAGAGAAGTCGGTTCACCATGCGGGAGGTTTTTTAACAAAACGATAATTTTTTAATAATGAAAAAGATAGTTCGCTACAAGAGTACTTTTAGAACTCATTAAAAATCTATTTCGTTCTATATGTGCTTCAAAGGAAATGGTACGATATGTGAGATGTTGAGGACGGGAAATATGCCTGCCATGAGGGTTGTGAAAGCCTCTAAGACTGACGCCAGAGTCCGCGATCCGTCGCGCGATTTGCCGCGGACTCCTGACGCCAGCCTAATGAAACGAGACGTGGAACTTCCGCGGCGAAGGGCGCGTCGACCTAACAGGTCATTGCTACTAATTACATCGCTACGTACCATCTGTCCTTGAAGGAGGATTCCACGAAAGGTCGAAGATCGAAGAAGGGAAAACCATTTAGTGGGAAAGCAGGCTGACCCCCTGAGGGTGCGGGACGATGCGGGTTTTGTAGCGAAGGGTATGCACCCAACGGCTTAGCAGGATCATACGCGCGCCGCTCGCGCCGCTGCACTCGCAGGTGTGGAAAACCCTTACCTGCCGTCTAACTCCATCCGTTTAGTAGAAAGAGTTACCGTTGAAGAGGTCAGCTCTGATGAGAGTCGCACCAAGGCGTCAATCACCGGGCTACTCCTAGGGTTTCAGGCCGTTTTTTCCGATTTTTTCTCTTCATCTCTGCATCGTTGACCACCTCTACTTTGATTTGTAGTGAGCTGTCTTTCCCATAGTAAAATCGGGAGCCTTTAAGTGCTGTTCAAGAATGCAAAAAGAACTTTTTCCAGAATTGTGATTGACGATGTGTTAGCCTGCAACATGGCTGAAACGGCATTGGGCATTCTTATCGACTACGTGGCTTTCTTGAAATACGAAAATCGGGAGGAGGAAGCGGGCAACTAGATTCTTTTTATCATTGGTATGAGGGCGTTCAAAAGATCTCTGTGTGAAAAGGTGATCAGTGATACTGCCTGTTTACACTTTTGCGGTCATGTTGACCAACATTTCTTTCATGTCTTGTTCGTTTCGATTCCATCGACATTCCTGTTTCCCTTTGAGTTATTTATCTATTAATTATTTTATGTACAATGTGTAAAGCTCTCGCACTTCTGCCTGTCATGGAACTCGATATGAATTGATGAATCATTTGGAGAAGTGTGGTTAAAGGCTCTGATCGGGATCGAATTGGTGTGTTATTTTGGTCGAAAACTAGACAGGAAGTGCAACGAGACCTATTGGGTTAACCAGTAAAAATGGGCAGAACCAGAATTTCCCCCGTGAGTTTGGCCGTGCTGTGACGGGGATACGTAGCGCTACGAGGAGAGGGAAAACGCGGGAGAGCACGTTGCAGATAAGGATGGCAGCATGGGCAGCAACACGAAGACCTTAGCGCCGTGCCGTTGTCGCGGTCAGTGCCGCGCCCGCATTGCTTTGGCGACCTCTTCTACTCTAGAAGCGATGACTTATTGACACCCAAATCCCGATCCATGGCTCTCATAATTTGGGATGTGGTGGTTGAATCAAGGTGTAATACATCACACACACTAAATAGCGGATTCCTGCGGATGCTGGGGCGTTTATCGAAGTGGACGGTGCCAATGGCGAAGATTTTCCATTTCTTCCTATTCCCGGTTTCAGAACAGGCCAGAAAAATTACCGCGGCTTGGTGGATAAGATAGCGAAAACGCCTGTGTTGGGAGCGGCATTCCCTCAGTGAGCATTGCTTGATCTGAATATTATCGCTTGGGTCTTCAATGGCCCAGAAATTAGAAAAAAAAATAGCAGAGTTGCGGAATGCTCAAGATGTCCTAGGGCTGACATATGTGGAGCCCTTAATGGGCCTAATGAGTCTATTTTTAACTGCGCAGTGCTTACTACACTGAAATACAAAAAACGCACAACTGTTGTAACAGCCTTGAGAGCGGAGATAGGTGAATAGAGGACACGGGAGAAAGGGATCCGTACCCTTATGATTAGCGTGGCGGATACTGCTGTTCTTTTATTGATGAATTTATTCGTTGATATGTGCTAGTTTTCCTTTAGACGTAACGGTACTCCAGTATTATAATGTCGTCTTCGTCTTCTGCTCCGTCATCACCTTGGTCGCCTTCGACTTGATCTTCGTCTTCATAGCCTTCGGATCCGTCTTCTCTTCGTCTTCTTCTCGCGATTCTTCTCTACATTTGCGATCATCTTCATTCTCGTTCGTAGTGCTTCCGTATATCCCTAATCAAGGGGTTCGTCGGCTTCCCCTGCGCCGAAGCCAAGGCGTGCGTAGGCTATCAACAGGGACCGTACTCAAATTTGATCTGAGAGTTGTGTTCACGTAGTAACTGGAACAGATCCTGAAAAATTTCTTTAAGTAGGTGTTATATTTACTTACATATTATGCCGAGAAGGTTGTACCTGTAACCGGTGAGACGTTGATCTGTTTGTGCTTTGATTTCAACACCACCAAGAATGCATCCATCAGATTCAAGCTTATCAGAAACTTCCGCAACTTTTACTTCTATACTTTTACCTACTGGCGCCTTAAAAAGCAATGTTCGATCACTCTGCCTAACATTTATTGTATTTCTAGGTTGCTCTCAGATTATCAGTACTTGTTTCGGTCAATTTCCTGTTTTTAGATTTTGCTGATTATGATTGATGGCTTTAATGCCTATCGAAAGCCCAACATCTCTTGAGCTCTTTGTTATAAAATATTCGCACAATTGCTCAGTATGGAGCTCACGAGCTTAAAAGACTATTGATGTTGTGAAAGCATAACTGAACCGAACGCCTGATGAAACCAGTCAGCGAACCAATAAAAGACGAGATATATGAGGTGTGGTTGAACCTAGAAGTGTTAAGTAACATCTGCCGAAGTATGATCTGGCACCTAGGATTAGAGTCAAAAGAGCAGGCTGCGCAAGTAATCGGCTGTGAAGGCCGTTTTGGCGGATCGTGCAGAATCGTTCCAGCTGCGAAGCTGACATCGGCCAGTGTGCATCGAATAATGATGGAGCTTTGAGATGGACATGAGCGAAAGCATGTTAAAGGGAGTTACCTCTGTAGCTGGCTCCTTGTTAAGGAATGGTTGCTACATGAGAAAGGCGAGGGTGATGTAGTGGTATCTGATACCTTGCACTACAGTATCTGTCACGTAGCCGTACCACTTTTCATCTCACTGAGTACGGAATTAGCCATTTCTCACATGCCTCACGTGTCTCTCCATTTCACAAAAGCTTTTCAGCTATCCCCTGCATACCAGGAACCGAACCGCCGCACAACACAATGAAGCCTAGGAACCCTGTGATATTGACCAACATAGCCATTTCATCAATGTCACGTACCTTAATCCAATAATTACATCTTTTGTAACCGTCTCTTTGGATTCCGCCATCCATTTCCTCACTTAGATTTAGCTTAAGCTGTGTCCAATTGCTGGTGGCGTTTAATTCCTTGCCACAATCTGGTGGCTAAATAGGAAATTTTGAAGAAATGCGCACACTAAAGCTACACAGAAGTCATTCACCATTTCTTTACAAAGTCGTCCACCGTACCCGCTGGGACAGATGCACTTAGAGCAGTCACGCGGGTGGGCGAAGCCCCCATTATCACACATTGTTTCATTCTTGCAAGAATCTGGAAAACAGTTTTACGGGCAGTCAAGTTCTGCTCAATATGTAGTATGGGATAGAGAAGATGACTACCTGTGCAGTTGTAGTACATATTCATCGCGAGCAGGTCGCTAAACGCAACAATATGAGATCCTAGAGTGTCTGTGTAGAGGACATCTTTAGGGATCATAGTAGTAAGTTTTCCACCGTTTGTGGTGTTCTTGCCGCCGCTAAGAAAGACAAAATCTTGTTTTGTCCTATTTGACCCCCCACGTTCCTATGGTAAACCTGCCTTGTGGATCCATAGTGCATCACACTACCATAGTCATATGGTAAAGCATAGTCGGTGTTGTTTGTCGTCGACTTGATGTCGAATTCGCCTTTCCAGCCATCCTCAATCGGTAATGATAATGTAGTACCTTGAGGCAGTTTGTGAGTCTCACTTTAACATTATCTTCCAAGAGTGTGATAAACTGGTCCCTGTCAGGTCTTGAATGTGTATGCCAGAATCCAAGGGCGTGACCAATCTCATGAGCAGCTGTTCCGATCTGAAGTAGTGTGAGAAATTAAAGTAATAGTAGCCGAAATGCCTAGTGCTTCTTCCCCAGCAAAAAAATTGCTATTGAGGGCACCTCGACCTCTTTCGAAGCTTCTTTTAACCGTTACCGTTGCGCAGCTGTTCGCCGAGGGAAATGAATTGCCATCCGTCCTGTTTCCCAACCTCTCCCCAACACCCATATTCTTTGTACACAAGAATGAGTTCGTCAGCTGAAACACTAACATCCAGCAAAACCCTGCTAATATTCCAATGTATTTCATTTTTCACCCTCTTCCTCTTCATCTAAGGTGATGTTTATGCAGGTGTTGTTCGTCCATATTTCCGCTGCTCTTTTGACGGCAATTTTTGCATTTCCACCTGAAGAAGGGAGACCAACTCCTCTGATCTTTTTTTGTCAGCGAAAACATAAGAGTTACTCACCTAAGTTGCGATCGAGTGCGTATTTAACTTCAAGTGATGGCCATTTTTTAACAGGGTAGGTATCATCATTACGGGCTTGCCGCTTAAATCGGTCCCCGCTACCATCCGCAACAATCTGCTCTTGTTGTTCTCTGAACGCAGTGCACATTTTTGCATCTATATCCAAAAAAAGAAGCAAACTTCGAAAGGAGTATATCTCCCTGGAACAAAGCGTCTGCGATTCCGCTTTCCGCGTTGACGTCCTCAATTGGCTTGTTCATTCGTGGCTCCTTCCACAACTATAACCTTCAATCTACATT